CGCGTGATGAATCACCTCTAGTGAATGAGGATGCTCATCACCCAGCACTCACAATTAGCATATCCGATATTTTCATCAAGGAGCCCAAATTTCAGTTTGATCCTAATCGAACTAATTATAATTTTAGGAAGGCAAACTTCCCTGCTTTATATAGAGACTTATACGAAACTTATTGGGATTATATACTCAATGCTACTGATGTAGACGAGGCCTTAAAGATTTTTTATGACAAAGTGTATCAATTATTTGACAGAAACGTACCCACTTAAAAAAACTATAGCCATACCTACCCTCCGTGGTTCAATGCTGATATTATCAAAAATATCAAACTGAAAGTTAAGTACAAAAATGAATTCAATCGACACAAGAGTAATTCCGATCTGATAGAATTTCAACGCCTGAGGCGTACAACTAAACAACAAATTAAAGAGGCTTATAGTGAGTATATTAAGCATATTGAAATTTCCTTAACGGAGAATCCTAGACAATTTTGGTCGTATGTTCATGCGAAAAACGATACTTCAAGAATACCAGGCAAAATGAAGTATCAAGGTAATACCTATACCGAACCACAAAATATTGTTGATGCCTTTGGGGAATTTTTTGAAAGTGTTTATCAAACCTTTGACATACCACTTACAACTAATTATGATGATACGTAGTCAGATCACATATGATTCTATCCGATTCGTGAAGAGGAAGTGTTGAGTGCCTGTAAAAAATTGAAAGATAAAATGACAACTGGACCAGATAATATTCCCTCTTTTCTAGTAAAAGATTGCATAGGTGCACTCACCAGCCTATTACTGATAATATTCAATCTATGTCTAGAGACCAGAAAATATCCTACACTTTGGAAGGAGTCGAAGGTATGTCCTGTTTTTGAAAGTGGAGAAAAAAACAGTATAGATAAATTATAGGGCCATTTCTATCATATGTAACCTGTCGAAAGTTCTCGAAGTGATACTCTATAATAGAATATACTCAACTATCAACAACCAATTGTCCCCATATCAACATGGATTTGTTTCAAAGCGCTCAACTGTTACTAATCTGCTAATTATAACACAATATCTCTCAGAGGCTTTGGACAATATAGGTCAAGTAGATGTTATTTACACAGATTTTTCAAAGGCCTTTGACAGAATGAATCATGGTATCTTGCTGAATGAGTTAAGAAAATTTGGATTTGCGAAGGAGGCAGTAGAATTTATGGAATCTTATTTATCAGACAGAGTACAATACGTTTCTTACAATGGATTCAAATCCGAAAAGTACTGTGCCTTGTCTGGTGTCCACAAGGCTCGAATCTTGGCCCATTACTCTTTCTGTTATTCATTGATGATCTATGTGATACAATAGATACTCACTGTTTGTGTTATGCTGATGATTATTATACTGATTGATTATTAACGAGGACAATTGTCATAACCTTCAAACTCAACTGAATGATGTGCATACGTGGTGCAACAATAATTATCTTTGTCTGAAAATAAATAAGTGTAAGGTTGTAAGTTATACGAGGAAAACAAACTCTTTTGAGTATCCTTACGAAATTAATAGGTCTAGATTGAAACGGTTGAAAAAATTCAAAGACTTAGGGGTGATTTTTGATCAGAAACTCACCTCTACTGAACATATAAAATCGATCTTATGGATACATAATACACAATTTGATAGACTGTAGCGATATACTGGAACAGCTAAACTTTAATGTGCCATCTTATCCCACTCGCAATGCTGTTACCTTCAGAAACACACGAGGTAATACAAATATCATGCTTAACTCGCCTATTTATGTAATGTGCAATAGCTATAACTGTATTGCAAACATGTGTGACATATTCAGTTGTAGCATTAGTTGTTTGATTGAAATTGTGAATTTGCTGCCATAGGATAACCATGTGATTAGCTATAATTTCGTTATTTCCTATATAATTTTGATCTTCATTTAGCTATGCTTCATCATATTCTGTAATATTGTCCTGTAAATGGGTAACTGTTGGACAATAAAGCTACTATTATTATTATTATTATTATTATTATTATCTTGTGAAGTGTCATTAGAGGTAAGTTGCTAGTGAATCTCAGCCGATAATATTAAGACGTTCCTGAAATATCGTTCATTGGAGTTTTACCCCGAATTCAAATAATGTCCTGTATCTCTGTAAAGATTAGGCAAAACATATTTTATTATATTATATATATATAAACTCACCTTGACCTCCTCTCTCTATATATATATATATTTATTGATAGACGGTATAAAGTCACCTCCACACCGTTACACATGTAATACGTTGTCACCTCATATATCCCCATTCATTTCAACACATTAGCCAGCAGATGTCATCAGAAGGCCATTCCCGAAAATTTCTCCGGAGGCCACTTTGACCACCCCATACCTCCAAAAAAGTTTTTTAGTTCGAGAGTTTAACGTCAGTGTTTGGTGGCGTTACATGTCCATATATACGATTGATACATGTATAACGAAGTGACTTCCGTTATTCAGAATGCATATTAAGACCTCCAAATTTTGGCAACACTGTAAGCCTATGTGTTATTATTTCTGAAGCTCGTTTCACGTCTCATCAGTATTGAGTCACAATATTCGTGGTACATACAAACAGGTATCCAAAAAAATTTATATTGTTTCAAAATAATGGAGAAATGAAGGGTAGAACTCAACGAATTATGAAAATTAGTTTTTTTTTTGATCTGGTTCCCACGAAAAGGGATATCCTGTAATGTTCAGGTCAGATCTGTGCCTCAAAGTTCATAAGCAGCTGACTGGAAGTGAAATTGCTCCTGGCCCGAAACAGGAAACCAAGTTTTTGCACTTTCAGCATATAATCTCACGTGATTTTCCCAAGAAAGGTTATTGCTGATAGTAATACCAAGCATCGAAATGGATGTCTTCAAAGGTATGGTTACTCATGACAAGCTCATGTTGCTGAGCTGAGCATGAGAGCGGGCCAATGCTGCTTAGTGGGCTTCCTGTAACGGCGATTAACGAGGTAGCTGGCAAGCCTGCCACTGCAGAATATGGTAGCGAGTACATTATGCTAGCCTACAGAACACGACCGGAAAACTCTGGAAGAGAGCTGATGGACGGTACCTGGAAAGGGTGTTAGCCAGCTCTCTCAAGTGAACCACATTACTCATTGAACACATATTGGGGCTTGCTGAAAGGTACCATTAGGGACTAGTTGCTGACTGCAAACGTACCCACCTTCTATTAGTACCAGTACCAGCAATAGTAGTCAGACGTACACAAAAAGCCCAGTCAGCACATCCTTTAGTAGTCAATTTCGAAATATGTCGAACAACTTTTCGCAATAGAAAGACAATGAGAACACTATGCGGGTCCACGAACTTTGGAATTCTTTGCTCGAGGAAGTATCCATCTCCCTATCCTCTTCTCTAGGTACAGACGATCTTTTCGAAATATTGCTGGGATTTCTATTCGTGCGCTCTAAGAGATGAAAAACACTACGCAATGTCAGACGTGAGAAGAAACAAGGTGAAATTGGAAAAATTGGACCGATTTACGTACTATTCCGCAGATCTTTAGATCATTCAGCTCTAGATACTGACAATGGGTTGACCCAGCTCATCATTGAACATCTCACCAATTCTCATTTCGATAATATTCAACTCATCTATGGACCCAATTCATCAACGACCAAACCAATCAACACACCCATATTAATCCATGGCCGATCTCGACCCAACTCATCATAACACCCTCGATTACACCCCTTTTATCAACAACCACTTCGTCATCAGCCCAACTCATCGATAATCCAACTCATCGACGACCCAACTCATCGTCGCACCAATTTCGCCAATATGCAACGCTCCAACGAGCCGACTCATCAATGACCCAAATCACCAACTACCCAAATGATCAACTACTCACCTCATCAACTAACCAATTTCATGAATACACTTTCCATCAACGATCCAACTCATCAATTATCACCCAACTCATCAACGACCCATTTCATCAATGAATCAACTCATGAATAAACCAACTCTTCAACCAAATTCGTCTTCGTACCCATTTCATCAACACCCGACTCGTCAACGAACCGAATAATCAATGACTCGACTAGTCAACGACTCATCTGGTTAACGATCCAACTCATATCATCATCCGTGAATTAACAATTATTGTGTTCTCAGAACTAAGTATTTCAGCAATCAGAAAATTATCTAGTTTGAAGGGGTTTATTACAGATTTTTCTCAACATTCAACTTTTTTATGAATGTGATCAAATGTTCACCATAGCTTGAATGCATTCATCTTCAATAACCCGATGGATCGAGAACGAAGTACAACTAAAATACTATTGGGACTTCTCACAGGGCATTGTTGGCTCAACAAACACATTAGTACGATAGGCCTGACTGAAGAACTGCTGTGCAGATTCTGTCAGGAAGAGGAGGAAACAGCAGTTCATATACTTTGCCACTATTAGGGCTTGTCAAGACTAAGGTTCCTTACGCTGGGTGAGAAAAAACCAAGAGCTCAAAGTTACACAAGGTATCTGAAAGCTTACCTATAGAGTCTCATAGAGAAGTCGGGGCAAGCCAAAGAACTCTGAACGATTTCTAGGGCACACATAATAGATCTGAAAAAGTCGCGTTGTGGAGGCAAATATCCCGATGGCCCCACTCTTAAACTAATCTGAATCTAGATCTCGAAAATTCAATTGAATTATGATCATTGAGAGAACTCGAAGGGCTTCGTTTCTCAAAGGAGTTGAATCCCTTTTTCTTCCTCTTTGAATATTGTCACATAACTTCTTTTTCCTTCTTCCATCTACTCGATCTTCAATTCTCCACTCGCGATGCAAATAAAATGTCGCCATTATCATTGGTCAGTTTCGATCAATTCTAAGGTGAGATCTGATGCCAGCTTGTCCCAATGACTATTTTAGTCATGAAGTATTGCAATTTTCTTAGGTGTAGATATCTTAAAAATCCGAACTCACCATCACTGCTTTTTCACTGTCGATAGTCTGATGCAGGTAAAATTCCTCCTCACTGCTCTTGCAGAGTATGTTGATATCATGATTGAAATCAATGAATAACAAACAGTACTTCTGTAGAATGTTGACGCTGAACGATGTGATGAATAAAGTACCTTTCGTGAGGAAACTGTGATGCCTGAATGTTGTATTTTGGGAGAAATGGATGAGTTCCCCAGCATATGTTTGATCTAGAAAATAATCATATCGTGAGGGTATGGAAAATGTTGTACAGTAATGAATATTTCAAAGCAAATGATACACAGTGAGAAGTGAATGGGAAAAAACATGCCAGTATGTAATAAATACATACTCCCTGAGCATTATCACTTGATCATACAAATAATTTCAGTTTTCTTTGAAGAACTAGGTGAATTTTCTCCATTCATTCATTGTTCGACATTGAGTATGTAATTCATTGGGATTGCACATGTGATCTCAGGTAGTTTACATGAATTGTGTGAATGAGTTTAATTATCAGAAATACAGCGTATTTCAACAGCGGATTCATCCAAATGCACCTCATATTCCAGGAAACCAGTTAATCTCAATGTTTTCACGTGTATTCTCTCAAGACGCTATCCTTGGGTGCACCTGCGCTGATGATCTCATTTGCAATTCGCATCTTGTCGTCTGATGCACTGACATCACTGCTTCTGATAAATTCGGTGTCGAATCTCCATCGAATTGAAATGAGGTGAAGACAAAGTGATTAACAAATGATTATTCAAAGGTAAAAATATATTTCCCTGTTCAATTTGCCATTGTTGGTTTCATAATGATAGAAATTATGATTCAGACCAGTATTTCCATAGGAAAATGTATCAAACTTACGATGTCATCGACCAAACTGTGAGATGTTTTCCGGTTTGAATTCGTCGATCAAATCTCATGTAAATAGATGTCACAACCAATATACCAGGAGATGGTGAATGGTGACGTTTTCTCATTCAATACTACATGCCTCCTCAGCTTTATGATAAACCTCGAAATATGAACAATATACGAGTTTCTGGCCGCCGCACGTGTGCACTCCATATCGAAAAATTCTTTTTGTTTTTTGATGAATTTTCATGTTTTTCGCGATATTATACTGCCTGCCGTTGTGATATACGGAACTGAAGCGCCAATATCTGATGGTATGCGATGCCCAGCGGCATATAGGGCTCAAAGGAGTTACGAAGAACTGGAGAGTTGTAGTACCTGAAGTAAACAAAACACCCCAGAAAAATTGGCAATCGCCCCTCGTCTGACCAACAGTGGAAAATTTCGGAAAACCCCTGTGAAAATTTTATACAGGTTTTACGTGATTGCGAGCTGCATCACCAGGAAGATACTTCATTAGTATAATAATTATCTAAAAGTATAGGTTATTTGACATGTACAACAGGATATTGAAAAATAGAGACATGCATGACGAAAGTTTCAAAAAATAGTTATTTCTGTAACTTTTGTCATGCATGTATATATTCTGTAAAATGTTGAATAACCTTTTTATAACTTATTTCAGAAAGGTATTATCTTTTTAGTGGCATGGAGTGTGGTATCACGAAAATCCTGTATTGAATTTTCACAGAGCTTCCTCGAAATTTTCAACCGTTGGTTAGAATTTGTGCGCATGCCAATTTTTTCGGACTGCTACTAAAACCTCAAATCTTCATATTGGCATGCAATTAGAAAACGAGGAAGTTTCCTTTGAATTTCTTCAGTTTTTCGTAACCGTTTTGAGCCCCTTTGGCCGCGGCGGATCTGTTCCATCTGATAACCAAGAGAATATGTTCTCAGTAATCCGCTCACAAGGACCTCTGGGATACGCTAGTCGACCTACGAAGCGCTGCACTCAAAAATGACATACAGAGGACAGTTGTTCCATAACTAGCTTGTGGTTTGGATGGCTCGAATTGGTGAATTGTAAGAAACATGCTGTAGGTTGTGTTCCGATTCATCGGACTTGGAATTCTAATATGTTGCATAAACGACAGGGAGAATTCAACAGAGAAGACATGCTTTTTCAACAGTACTTCACATTGTAGAAATTGAACCAGTTTTTCCTACCTCCATTACGAGCAAAGGGCATCTCAGGAGGAATACGTTTCGAAGAGGAGGCAGTGTGATGATATTTCTCTGAGAGGTGCTGAAACATCATCAAAAAGGCAAAACTACAACGATATCCCTGTATTTCAGATTGTTGTCAGATATCACTATATAAGAGGACGAAAAATCGAGACGACTGATATTCAAGAAAGAGCCAGGCAGCAACTAACAATATATTTAGCAGTCAGTGACACAGTGACAGTAGTATACCGCGTGTTTCAAATTGTTCAAAGTGAAAGTTATGACGAGTTGAATGAATCCGTTCTGAAAAAATAATATGAGTGTTCACTTCTGCCCATGAAAAACGTGACAACATATTTCTGACAATTCGCCTACAACTACCCCTGTGACAACGAATGCATCCAGAATGCAAGCAATCCTCAAACCCACTGCATATATAAAACCCTTCAATCAGAAGCAATATTGTTTTATAAAAAATAATATCCTACAGAATCCCATCATTTCATTCGGATTGTTGTATATTCCAAACTAATCTACCATCTCATTAGTTGAGACGTGGAACTAAAATCGGGACAAATATGACTTCCGAAGGTTCATCAATTTACCTACTGTTTCAACTTTATTTACCTGAATATCCGTCCCCAATATCGACTCGTTTTTCTTGATGTTCAACGTAAATGTAGTCATATTCATCAAAAGTCACATATTTTATGTGATTTGGATATGTTCCGAGGTTCATGGTGTATCCTACAAAAAATGAATATAAATTAAAATTTTAGAAAATATCAGGAAAAATACTTATTCACAGAATAGCAGGATGATGCTATCTTCACAGGTGAAGTGACAGGTTGTTTGTCAGAATTTTCGTTTAAAGAATTTCGGGTAGCTAGGAGAATTGTGACAACTACAGTTTATTTTATTTTGATCGATTAAAATATGTGATTGACAATCTTAATATCGGAATGGGACATGGTAAGTCTAAGATTTTCAAGTTTTGAAAAGGTCGAAAACGATTTTATAATATGATGCATGTACAGAAAACCTATTCCATTCACCTTCCAGATTCTCAGTATCGGATTTTCTCTTAGCTTAGCGTATTTGAGGGCATAGACAACTTGGACTTCGATCGCATGTATGTAGGTACATGAGTTCATTCCTTGACAAATCAACCCAATTCGTAATGAGTGTGGAATTTAATGACCAATCAAGTATGCACTGTGTAACCTTCAACTTTTGAACGATCGCAATAGCACCTGGACGCCACTTCGGAAGATCTTTTCAATTTTTTATTTTCAATTGCATTTTCTTGTTGGACCCAGCACTGGATCCAACGCCCCATAAGTCGAAACTTGTGCGGGGTTAGGAAAGCATACATCTACAAACATCCATGGCCTAACTGGGATTCGAACCCATGCCTCGGTGAGAGTCCCCATACGAACTCAGCGCCTTCGCGCTCTCGACCACCGGGTCAATTGGAATGGGTAATTGAGCTACATTTTATTCAGAATACTAGGAATATAACCTTCAGGAGATGCTGAAATATGACTTCTTTGGAATACTGGTGGAATGAGGAACCCAGCGAACCTACTGATCAGATCCTTGTTCTCAGTTTGTTTGAGGGTTGCATGAAATCAAGATGTGATCCTAATGATGTACTGTTGATTTATTGTCACCGTAATAATTGCTCAAAATATGTACTGAACTCATTTTCATATTTTGTTGAAAACAATCCAGAGCCAGTTTTTGTCACACCTAATATCTGCCATTTCATGACATTATTGTTTTACAGCCGCCACTTTGTTGAGCTGGAATCAGCCCCGACATGTTTTTCCAAATGCAACCGTATGACTTGTGACTCGCCCCATTGGTAAGCTGGTTGAAAGAGGAATCCAGCGAACCGATTCAATTTCAGTGGGTAGTTTGTTCGAAGGTTGCATAAAATCAGTGCATAATTTTGGAGTTCAATATATTTCCAGAGTATTCTCATGAAAATTTCGATTTGTAGCGACTCAATCAATTCAGGCATTTTCACCAGTTTGCAATAACGCTTTCTCTCGAAAAAAGAACACGGCGAACATACTAAATTTCTTTTGGCGGCTGTAAAACATTAATGTCATGAACTTGCAGATATCAGGAGTGACAAAAACTGGCTCTGAATTGTTTTCAACAACGAATAAATTCACCGAGAGCCAATTTCTCATTGATGCGGTGCACGGTCCTTCATCATAATTAATTATACGAGTCCTTCAAATCTCATCAATAATTCCACGAAAACTTGTCCATTCAGGAAAAAAATCAATACAAACCGATTGATAAAACCACAAGTCCTTCAGGACGAGGGGTTTCTTCTGTATTCTTCTTCTACGTATGATATTCTTCAGGAATCTCGGCTATCATTCCATCACAAGCACACACACATTTTACTGAGAGAATTGTCTATGATTTAAAAAAAACAGCGAAATATCTGGATTGAATAGACGCCAGAGCAATTTATCTGCTGAACTGAATGGATTGATTTTGCTAAAAGAACTCTATGAGATTCAAATAGAATGTTGCATTGTTCAAAACCTGTCTGGCAGAAAGAGATATCTAGCTGTCAGAATAGGTTGACTGATTCACAATACTGGGATACCTTGTTACTACTAATAGATCGTCGAATCGCTGCAGGAAATTCGTATGTATTATTCTAGATAGATTATTTTGTTGTCATTAATAGATTGTCGAACAACCTTAGTGGGGTCATGTGTATATTGTATCCTGGTCTCTACCTGAAGAAAACCTTTGTTCGAATCAGTTGAAGTTTCACCTACCTATCCATTGAAGAATCCATATAGGAAGGAAAAAATCTTGGACATCGATCCTTAGTGCCAGACAGTATCTAAGACTTTTTCGACATTCATCATAACAATGAGTGTATTTGTGTCGATCGAAGGCCTCTTTTACCCCGGGAATAATTCCAGCCCAGACGTTTATTTTTGGGGATATTGCGTATGATCATCTCGAAACAAGTGTGGATTTGCATTGTCCCAGTATTTACAGTTATGCTTATTTACAAATTCATCAAGAAAAAAAGGTGATTCATCACTGAACCAAATATTTTTCGTTGAATTCGGGTCATTTTGAATTCTCGCAGTCATTATTTCACAAAATTCAATTCTCCTATCATAGTCATCCTCACTGAGTTGCTGAAGAATACCCATTTTGTGAAGAAAGAACTTGTTTAGTTTCAAAACTTCGTGTATAGAACCAACTGAAATATATAATATCTTAGCGACTTTCGAAATTGAAGTAGTAAGCTCAACGGCTTTGTTGCACACAGAACCGGTCTCTTCAAATTTTTGAACAAGGCCGGCGTACCTCAGTGCTTCGATGCTTCAATATCGATTCACGTCGAGGTAACGATCGTGGGTTCGAGTCCCACGAACGCAGACTTATTCTGATGGCCTAAGAAAGTGTTTGGGATCACACGTTAAAAGGTAAGGCCCCCGTCATTCCTTGCTCGCACAAGACTTTCGAAGACTTCTGAGGGTTGCTCGTAAGGGGGCAACCGAATGACGGATAGAACAATTTTAGAACAATTTTAGAACAATTTTTTTTTTAGAACATATCGGTGACTCACATTCTGGCCTGTGGGCCTTTCATTAAAAACCTGGACTGTCCTAAGAGAGTACGAGAACACCTATTTTCAGCAACATAAATAATAGTAGATTGTTTTATTAGGATCAAAAGTGACACTTTGTTTGACAAGCGAATTTTGCATTTGCGAGGCGGAGCGTTTAGGGAAGCCGAGCGAAAGCAAAATTTGCGAGTCGAACAAAGTCACTTTTGATCCGAATGAAACATGCTATTTTTTCTGCAACCGAAACAATTAACTCAAATAAACATGTGAAGTAACCACCAATGCCGTGCCATATGTATGCAATGCAACAAATATTGACAAATAATCCATGTAGTGAGAATATTCTACCTGCATTAACAGCAGGTTAGGTTTTATAGGATGTTCGAATCGTAGTTTCAATATTAATACAACCACAGAGTGACATATTTTTGTATGGACCAGGTGCTCTAATGGCAAATACCGCGCCAGTGCTATATAGGAACAATGATAATAGTGATTATTTATTCCTCTCCATACTACACTGTATTTGATTTGATAATCAAATGAAGCTAAACAACATCGTTGTTTGAGACAAAAAAACGATTGCTTGCCGTGATTATTCAAAAACAAGTTATCCATCCCGAGAATAACGAATGAAATACAGATCAAGCAAGTATTTGAATCTTGAAGGCTTCCCGGATCGAAACAACAATACTTAACTGAGATGTTTATAATTTCAATACTAAACTATTATAATAAGGTGTATTTATATCTCCAGCATGGGTATGAAATGCCAAATCTGCTGAAATCGGAAACAAATCAGGTATGCGTCTCAACCCAAATAACCAACCGTCACAATGTTGTTTATTCTTGATGAGGTCCAGTACATCCTTTTTAGTTCCAAGGAGCTAAAGTTCAACTTTAGCTCCTAGGAACTAAAATTCAACTTTAGCTCCTAGGAACTAAATATGTTGCCTAGCAACATACCTATTTTTGTGTCAGTAATAGAAACGTCAATTTAAGAGCTAATTTTGGTATCAAAATGGACGACTTTTGTGTCGGTTGCAGAAAAAAATAATTTCAGTTCTATCTTGTGAAGTGTACAGTAGTGTACACCATTACGATTTCTATTACTGTCAGTGCAACTGACACCACTTGACAAACAATTCCAAATAAGTACAAGGAATAACTAATTCAAACAACGAAATAGCCACAATGCTCAAAGTGGATTCTGATCAATGGTTTCACCATTATATTTCAACTGATGCCAAGAAGCATTTGTGTGCTCTTATCTCACTTGAAGCTGAAGCAGAATCTCTGTGTAAAAAAGAAACATAAACATTTCGTTATTGAGTCAGTGGTAGCGGTTCCATAAATTTTTGCATTTCGCTATAATTCATTTTCTTATTGTCCTATTTTACGAAAGCATAATCAACCAATTTCAGTTTTCTGGTGGTAGGAGGTGCCATTTAAAAGTATCATAGTAGCTAGGGGTGAGGGGATTAGGTTTCAAACTCCCTCATCAACACGTGTTCTTGAAAGTAACCAAACCCCATGCCTTATTCCGAATAAACCATCGGACAACAGTATCAATATTACATATATCTCAGAAAAAGATATTCACGATGCTCTCATTGAACTTGATTAAAAAAAGGTCCCGGACCAGACAGTATACCACCGTTATCTATAAAAGCATGTAGGTCAAGCTTAGTGCATCCTCTGTACGTATTATTCAATAAATCCTTGGTTTCCGGAAGATTTCCGTCAAAATGGAAAATCGCACGAGTCAAACCAGTATTCAAATCAGAAAATCGGACAGATGCATGTAACTACAGACCAATTTCTTTATTAAATATATACGGTAAAGTATTTGAATCCATTATCACACAACAATTATTTTTTATATCAAAAAATGGTCTCACAATTAATCAGCATGGATTCTTCAAAAACAGAGGAGTCGTGACCAATTTGGTACCCATTTGTACAAGAAATCTTCGATAACATGGAACAGGGAGTTTAAACTTGTGCGGTGTACACTGATTTCTCAAAGGCCTTTGATAAGGTGCATCACCCTACCCTTATGGTAAAGCTTTCTAATTTCGGAGTACACAGCAATCTGTTGAAACTCCTAGAATCGTATATCACTGAGAGATATCAGTACGTAGTACTGAATAATGTGAAATCTACCAAATGTCTATAATCACGTCCGGGGTTCCGCAGAGCTCACACTTGGGCCCCATTCTATTCAGTATATTTGTTAGTGATGTTGAACAATGCTTTAATTTCTCAAATTTTGCTATATACGCCGACGACTTGAAAATTTATAGTGAAATTGCAGTACAAATAGATTATTTATCAATGCGAGCAAATGTTATAATGTTCTATTCTCTAGATCTCAAGACCCTATCACTGAAAACCTATTTATCAATAAACAGATAATATCAACAACTGAAGGAGTTCGAGATCTAGGAGTTATACTAGATAAAAAATAAACTTTCGAATCACATATTAGAGCTGTTGTTAAAAAAGCACTCCGCACTCTGGGATTTATTCTGAGAAATACTAAAGAATTCAAAAATCATTCATCAGTTACCACTTTATATAAATCATTAGTCAGGCCTATCCTTGAATACTGCTTTACCATTTGGAATCCCGTGTATGATAAATATGTGAATCAAATTGAACATGTTCGAAAAAATTGGTCAACAATTTGAACTATAGATTCTTCCGCTTCTGTCACTATATGAGCTATGAGAGCAACTTGCGTTTCTATAGAATAGAGAATCTTTTCATTAGAAGAGACTTCGTTGAAATATTATTCATTCACAAGATCTTCAACAATCATATTGATTCAACAGCATGAACTGGATTCCTGAGCTTGAATTGTAATCCTACTCACTTTCTACCCACTTTCTTTCCCAACTAATTATTATAGTAATTCACCTCTAATAAGATGTATGAACTCGTACAATACAATTTGCCGCTCTAATATTGATATATTTCACCTTGATATCAAAAGATTCAAGAAACAACTGAGAGAATTCTTGTTAAATTTTTATAGCATTACTTGAATATAAAAATATAGAAATAGTGCTGGTACTGGATACTTAAGTCATATCGAAATTGTAATTTTCCAGTCTGTGTCAAAATACTATACCTATGTATATTTCATATGTTGATATCGTATATACCGACGTTACTGTTGTTTTCTTCAGATTGTTATTTTTGAATGAAAGTCATGGAATAGGTAGGTACTTAGTTTTTAAATGATAGTATGTAGGTGCAACCCATGTGAAGACAATAGTTTTGTATCACTGTCTTATCCTGTTATTGAAAGGACTATTTATATAGTTCCTCTGTTGGATAACCTTGCTTTCTAAATGAAAATAAATAAATAAATAAATTCAGACGTGTTTTCTGCCTACGGCAAATCGTCCTTGCTGAAAGAAGTTATAGGAGTGGGGTGTTTCGAAATAAAGGCACCTTCTCTTATGATCGTGACGTTTCACAAATTGAACAGAGGCTTTCTAAAGTCAATTTATTGTCAAGGAAATTTGATTGAATTAAGTGTCGAAGATGTCGACTGGGTGTTTTTGATACTTGATTGAAGAAACTATAAATGTCACATCCCTTAGAACCAAAGCAAGATCATCTCCTCTGAAGTCCATGAGTATTTTGAATGGCTCTTGCGATAGGTGTCGAACTGAGTAACATCATTTGACAAAATACAGATATTCGTACTGCTTTACGGCACGTCCAAAAAGATTTCCGTCTCTGGTAAAATGATCATGAGACTCGCTATTTATAGCCCAATATAATGGTGTTTCCACGTAGAAAAAAATCCAAGTGGTCGATTTCTCAACGGTCATGTTTGTTTTTCGGGGTGATGAATTCGAATCTGAAGTTTGCAACCGAAATTTCCAAGATATTCGCAAAAAAGCGAAATGTTCGCTCTTCTTCCAGTTCATCGACCGTAAGTCGAAAACTACATTATATAAAGAAAAACACTCCATAGAAAGTTGACGTAGATATTTTCATATATAAAAGTTCTTGCACTTCTTGCTGATAAATTCAGGACTTATGGACGAGGAGCAAGAGTAAGCTAGACATGGACCAAATTCGCGCACTTTGCAAAAAAAACGTTCTTTGTCATTTTTCGCAGATAATTCAAAATTCACGTATTTTTCGGAGAAATGTATGTGATGTTGAAATTTGTGTAAGTTTCCCTCTATGCAGCTGTGTCTGCAACCGTCGCCCAAGAATAGTCCCTGTCAAATAACCTTAACAGAAGCCGTCTTGACAATCTGCTGAGGTAACAATGTGGAATACAAAGCAGAAGACAACGCAGATGGACTTATTTCAACAACAGTCATTGCATTAGCAGAAGGTAAGGAGATGGTATAGCTGTCGTAGACGCGGATTTCGACCTCCTAGTCCCCTTAGTCAGTTACAGACTCTGTTCAACGTATTTTTTTAAACCTGAAATGGAGAAAGTACCCAACACGCTTAACCATCAAAGCATTACCCTCAATCACGATTACGCACATATTATTCGGTTATATTGTAACCGGGTGTGTCACAACGTCTTCCTTATTCAGCCTAGGAAAAACAAGAGCCCTGAAAATCGTCAACAAGTTTCTCAACAAACCCCAGAGTATTCAATGACCCTGAAGTAGATTTGGGTGATCTCATAGAGGCAGTCTTTCATTCATGTCAGGATCAACCGGAGCCATTGTCCGATATGAGATACAAGATGTTGAAGACATCTGCCCAAAATTTTGCGTCAAACATTGCCATTTTCTTTGAACAAGGGCCCTCGAGCATTCATTGCGAGTATATTTGCAGGTGCAACTATGGAAAGGACACCTTCACGAATACACCTGGGAAATTGAGATGGAGTAACACTATCAACGGCCTGCAGCCCATTCCTACAACTAACCTCCCTACTCTTGAAAACATACTCCACCTTATGTCGATCAGTGCCGCTGCATAAAGAATTGCGGCTGCAACAAAGCCAATCTGTGTTGCACGAAGATCAGGATCTTGACGATCCAAATATCGCTGACGTGTCATCAATCACAACATAACCTAGATGTTCCGCCTTTATATACTCTCGAAAGCATTAACTCAGTGAAATCACACTTCCATCAACTTGAACCCAATCCCCCTTCAAGTTAGTTAGCTTCCTTATCATAATGTTCATGCATTTTTCTTACAGACTACCACAGAGAGGATAGGGGTTACCTGGACCAGAAATATCTCAACCATGAATGTAGTAATAGAGATGGACAGAGCAATCAACATTCTCATGTGAAGTCATACAATGGCTAATTTTTTGTAGCCATAATGTTATTCTTGCTGAGTCAAAATTCAAGAAGATTTCCGTTTTTAGTGAATAGGAGTTCCAACATGGTTGTAGTGCAAGGTATTCACTCATAATGTCCGTTGGAACAATATTAGTTGAAGTTGATTAGGAATTATCATTGGAAGGGTGCCAACATATTAATTAATGAATTCATTCATTGATTTAGTTCCTAGACCCTACATTCTATTTCTTATCAAAGTGAAAGTCAGATAAAATCCTATTGTAGTCCATGTTATCTCAAAGTGGAGTGAAGTAGTTGAAATATGATAAAAACTCTCAAAGTCGTCTCCACAACGTTCAATTTCAAATTCAAGAAGGGGAGTCGCATGTTTCGGACCCAAAATGCATTCATCATCAGCCAGAAAGAGATTATTCCACAAAGAACAACGAAACGGTAAGAAGGTGGGTATATCAGGTAAAACAAATAGCAACTCACGTGGAGACGAAAGCAGCAAAAACATGGTCTAAATGTGCATGGTTAAATAGATAATAGAACATGTTTATAGTTTCAAATAAAAATTGAAAATGAAGTGAACAGGTATTATCATTCAAATTGGGGCCCTGTACCCCAGATATTTGCTCAACGACCCCGTACATTCGGTAGCAGTAGGCAATCACAGAATGATTGAAAAAATCCGACAGAAACATACTGATTATATTGATGAAACTCAATAGATTTCCCATATGAACATCTCATATCTCAAAGATGTCAAGTCAAAACCCATAACCTACAGCCAACGTCAAAACCCTAATTACAATGTAAAGATGGAAGGTAGCGTAAATATGATCAATAATATAGTATAGAAACTTGAATTCAGAATTCTTGGTTCAGAGACCGAGGTAGGAAGAACAATTACAACAGAAAATTCAGGAACATAAAAAATTGAACCATTTTTGAAAATCGAAATGAGTTTGTTCGTTGAGAGATAACACATGTTTATCCTTCAATGAAGCAAATATCTGAAAAACTTCTGACAAATTCAATAAATTGCCATCATGGCAAATATGTAAAATATCCAGATCATTATTCAAATCAGAGGAATATTGGGAATTGAGGATATGGTTAGCAAAAGAACAAGAAAGAAGGAACAGTATTAAATTCATCATCTCTGTTGGCGTTTTGAATTCATCTATAATTAAATACAAAAAGCTCCCACAAAATGTTCATAAAATGAACAGAAATGGTAGATTCAGGAAGAAAAACAACTACTTTTCTGGCTAATGCCACGGAGAACATTGAATGAAATCTTCCCGAAATCTAAGCATCAACTTGTATAGACGAATATTGATTCAAGTGATTCTTTCCTGAATGCCTATTGATTCCGATCAAGCCAGGTCACGCTAGATACCGACAGACCGATTTCTAGCTCATGTTTTTTAAATCATTTGATACTTTCTTTATGGACAAAATTGATACTGTTCGATGAAGTAAATCTCCTTCAGGATTTCTTGAACAATCTACATCCGGCTATCAATTTCACCATGAAATTAGCAGGCAACAATGTTCTTCCATTCTTAGATTCACCTATTAATACAGATAATGATGAATTCAGTTTTTCCTTTCACCGTAAACCGATCCTCACTGGTACCGTAACCCCCTTTTCTTCTTGCCATCCTATCTCGTCACAAGGCTTTGTCTCAGATCATCTCACATATTTCGTAGTCACGAGCTTTTAAAGACCTCGCTAGTCAACTGATGCAAATCTCCCAATATCCTCGTCACAAGGCTATTTTTGCGAAATTCCCGAACAGCTCATAGTCGTGAGCACTTAAACACCTCGCTAGTGGCGATTGATGCGAATATTCCGAAGTTCTTGCCTGAGGGCATTGTATGAGAATTCCTGCATGGGATATCTTCAAGAACACGCTGAGCTCATCCTAGGCGGCGGACATTTGAAGGAGATATAGCGCTTTTGGCGACCTCTCAAAGAAGTTACAAAAGTTATCACAATGTTGTAGTATGATATCTTCGAGATATCTTCAAGTCCTTTTTGTGCTGCCTGGAATATAGAGGGGAAAAAGTCGCAATTTGCTTGGAATTTGAGGATTTTATCGACGGCATATTACATGAATACGCACATTGGCCTGGATTCAACCATTTTCATACCTCTTGTAGTTTCCAAGATCTCAATCGTGGCCCTCGAATCTGAATTATCCAGTAAAGAATTATTCATTCAGCAGTTTCTTTATTGTGTATCCAAAATATTTGTATACCTCATTCATGGAAATGAAAGCAATCCATAGCTGATGCTCTTGATATGTAATAAAGTCATAAGAAAAAAAAAATTAAGAAGTGCAGAAATTACGCAGTGTTTTGCGAATATCTCGGAACGCTCCTGCAAATTTTATTCGCAGATTTCAGATTCGAATCCAGCGCTCTCAAAATCCTATGAATCAATAGAAAAACCGACTACTTGAGTTTTTACCACGAGGGGGTTTCCATCGTTATTGATTTCAATAACGGTAGTATCTCGAACTCTGTTTGAGCCGTTCTCTAATGATTTGAAGCCGTTTTTTATGATAGCTTTCCTTCAAAAATTGGAATTTCGATGAAAATAAATGAATAAATGAATGAATTCGATGGAACTATACAAGAAGTGAATATAAAAAGTGAAGCTTCGATTTGGTGTCTTTGACATCAATTATATAACAAACTTAATAATATGAAAAGAACTTATTTTATATCCGATACATCAGGACTAGTACGAACCGTCAGAAGTCTCATTTTTATGATCAAAAGTCTTGATAATTATTCCAACAATCAGAAGATATATCGTTCTCGTTAATTTACTGAATCTGTGAAACCTCATATGAACTCTGATAAGCTGCGAATCTTGAATGACTAATCAAAATTATTTTGTGTTGACTTTTTGAAATACGTCCAATTAATTCTGATTAAGATTGATTTCCAAAATATCATACCTGCCGTTTCAACGAAAAAAGTTTCTGTTTCATTCCAATCGAAGAAGTTGACGATTGCTGAACCATTCTCATTAGTGAAGGTCAATAAACGACTGCCATGTTGATCACATTTTGCGGAGAATACTTCATTCGCATTTGTTCCAAATGGTACGGTCTTGAAATAATTCAAGTAGAATGCTTGTTCTGAAAGGGTAATGTTCAATATCTCAATATATCTATGTTGCATTATGATACTTACCATCCAATGATTGATTTATTGCACTAGACATATCCAAGAGTCTCTTGTAGTTGTTAGAGAAATCATTCAATATTTCAAGATTTGTTATATTATTCAGGAGTTCAGAGATGTTGAGACCATGGAATGTTTTCTCGCAATTGAAGTTTCGCATAAATACATCACTGAAATTCATGGGGGATTTGACATAGTTCGTAACATGTGTGTGTGCCTGAAAGTAAATGAATTCATCAGTTCTGAATATAGTAGGAGTTCCAGCTGCAAAATTCGATCTAATAACGAAATGGTATTTGTTCCAAAGGCATACAGAAACATTATATTTTATCGAACGGCTCCTGTGCCAATCACTTTCCTGAGCAATATGAATAAAGAATTGCATCTTCTTGTGGGATAATTTGCACATGGTTTCGCAATTTTGTAACGAGAAAGGCATTATGTCTTTCGAAATAAATTGAATTGAAGATCTCAAAAACCTACCTGTGCCACCCCTCAATCTTAGTCAAATCCACGGCACACCGTTTTATTTGCTGGTATACTGCTGGACATAGTTCCTTTATGTGATAACGAGTTGAAACAAGAAGATAATGAGAGAGGATAATGTCCTGTACCCGAATTCCCAAATGTCTCGCGATTCAAACTGATCTGAGCTAGTGACAGAGTGTCAATATATCTGAGAATATATCGACCCTGTCGAAGAATAATATCCGATGAACCAGTGTTAATCTTACATGGTGCTTGCACTCCAACTATTCAAATCCACATTTTGGGCTCAACACTGGTTCATCGGATATTATCTTGAAACAGGTGCGAAATATTCTTTGAAATATAGATTCTCGGCCAGTATCCTAGCTCAGTTTGAATCAAGGCCCGTTTGGATATTCGTTGAGGATGAATTATCCTACTTATCTGCTTCTTGTGACAACTTGTTCTCACATGATGAAAGTTTGTTCGAAACAATGGCGGCAAATTGAACGGTATGCCGTGGATATGACTTAGATTGAGGAGTGGTACTGGTAGGTTCTTGAGATCTACCATTCCATTGATATCAGATGACATGATTTCCATCCCTTAATTTTGAATAATTCTGCTCAGGATAGTGATTGGCACAGGGCCGTTCGATAATATGAAATCATCTTTTTTCATGTCTTCAGATGACGGTCGAAATTTGCAACCAACTCTTGAACTCGGACAGTTGAAAGTATGTCAATCAGTTTGAATCCATCGATACATCGAGAATCCCTCTAGAAGAGGAAAGATACTGATAAGTAACCGATGCAATAGTTCTGATGAGTATATAATATATTGGCCCCACCTTGACCTGTTCGTTGACAAGTTCAGTGATATCTACTTCATTTAGCAATTTCTTAACTTTCATCGCTTTGAACTTCGGCATTTCAGTTGGACCTGGATTGAAGGATTTGTGACCAGTTATATTCTGTTGAATATTTTTCAACAGAACGAAGTTTTTTCTCAAATTTAGATCGTTCAGTTTTCCCATCAAGCTGAAAAAAAATATAAAATTGAAATTTCTCATTCATATTTCCTGTCATGGATGATAATAACATTCCAATATTCAACAACAACAAATTGTCACTTAATGTAAATAAAACAAACTATATTGCCTTCTCTGAAACATCCGCAGATCGTCCTCACTCCAAAGAAATCATGTGTGATCAGTAAACATTTTTTTGTTTCTGAAATGTTTCAGAAACGTAGTATTGATGCATGAAACATTGCATTCAAAGTTGCCTACATGTTCCAGAAACGTTCCAGAAACATTCCAGAAACTAGAGATGTCCGCCCTCAGGAATGTTTCATGGTAATGTTCCTAAATAATGTTTCGAATACGCAAATTGAAACATTTTGGAAACATTTCTACCATGATCATATCCTGTAGGAATGTTCCATGCAATATTTCATAAATATTTCTTTCGTTATATTACATGAAATGTTTCAGAAATATTCGTGAAACCAAAGATATTTGCCCTCAAAACTGTTTCATGAATGATGTTTCGAATACAAATGCTTGAAACATTCTGGAAACATTCCCAATATGATTAGATCTTTAGGAATGCTTCTTGGTACATTCCATGAATATTTTTGAAACGATAAATTTTCGCCACCAGAGATGTTTCATAAATAATGTTTCAAATACATATATATGGAAACATCCTGGGAACATCCATTGTAGAACTTTCGGGAATGTTTCACGAAACATTTCATGAATGTTTTTCATTCAACAATATTACTGTTTATGAAACATTCCCATTGAATGTTTCAGAATGAAAAATACCTACCAATATCGCTGGAATATATTCATATTGCTGGTGAAATAAAAGATAATAGACATAAAAAAATGGATTATATTGCTTATATAATGATATATGAAAAAAGCAGTTAAAACAGTATCATCAGATATTTCACATAATCACGACGTATTAGGTATGTACATATATATCAAGTAATTTAACATCGTTATTCACATGTTGAGTGCTTCAATATTTTTCTTCGGTTACATCGCAATTGAAAGCACTATTCTTGTGCAGCTTCTAAGTATGATGAAATTCTCACACTCCATCCTAGAACAAAAAGTATCATTATGAATATACCCATCATGATATCTAATAATATTTGATATTTCATCTGAAATTATGGTTTTTCTATATTCATACGTACCTCGGCCTTGTCCATGGAGCCGTTGAATACATTTCAAAGTCCAGCCACATCAGGGGATAATAAAAAAATGGAGTCGTTTGTGTTGTTTGTTTGGTTGCAAGTTTTGATGTTACTTCACATGGCCTGAATCACCTAAGAGGTCTACCCGTACGATTAAATAGTAAACACTCGAAAATGTGTTTGACTTAAGTGAAATAATTATATTTTATCACTATTATAAGATATTAGATGTCTTTTGCTTTGCTTGGCTTGAGACAACAGTCGGAAAGCGAAAACAGCGAAGCCTTTCACCAAGGAGAAGGAAATTGAATGCGCGTGCGCGAACGCTTAGAAACGAAGACGGGAACCCGCGATCGATTACCGAAGCGGCCGAAGGCACTAAAGCGGCGGCTGTAGAGGGGAAATGCTGAATTGCATCATAATATGATAAAATGCTTGGTCAAAATAGACCATGTAATAGTTGTGAAATAATCTAATTAATTTATTAAAATTCGGGTTATTTTGAAATATTCTTAAATTAACCAATTCAAGTTGCATGTCTTGGAATATTGTATAGGTAAGTAATTCCTAATAAATGTGTCAAAATGTCAATAATTTGAGGAGCCTTGGAGTTTTTCGAACATATTCCTAACGCATTGAAACATTCCTGAATCAGTATTGAAAGATATGTTTCAATTGAAGTGATTTTGAAACGTTTCATTAATTAATCATTCAAGTAATTTTGGAATGTTTCGGAATATATCAATTAAAGTTGTCTTGAAATGTTTCAGAAATGTTGCAATGATATTGAAATATCCCTGGAATGTTCCTGATGAATGTTTCTATTATTCAGAATGAGAGTAATATCGAAATGTTCCAACCATTTGAAATTCAGGTGATTTTGAAATGTTCCTTAATCAACTAATTTCAGTTGTCTTTTGATATTGCAGTAATCCGTAATAAGAGTATATTTGGAATGTTTCAAAATTTCTATAGTTTGATGAACCTTGAAATGTTCCAAACATATTCCGAACGCATTGAAACATTCCTGAATAAGTAGAAAATGACATGTTTCAATTATTCATTTTTGAAGAAATTTTGAAACGTTTCATTTATTAATTATCCAAGAAATTTTGAAATGTTTCGGAATATATCAGTTGAAGTTGTCTTGAAATGTTTCAGAAATGGTACAAAGATTTTCAAATATTCCTGGAATGTTCCTGAAAAATGTTTCCATCATTCAGAATGAGAGTCATATCGAAATGTTCCAATCATTTAAAATTCAGGTGATTTTGAAATGTTCTTCAATCAAGCAATTCAAGTTGTCTTGAAACATGGAAGTAATTCACAATGAGAGTATATTTGGAATGTTTCAAAATCTCAATAGTTTGTGGTACCTTGAAACGTTTCATACATATTTCGAACGCATTGAAACATTCCTGAATAAGTAGTTACTGATATGTTTCAATTATTCACTACCAATTTCTTTTTTGGAATGTCTCATTCATTCACTTCTCAAGTAATTTCGAAATGTTTCAGAATATATCAATTAAAGTTGTTTTTAAATATTTCAGAAATATTACAGTGATTTTGCAACATTCCTGGAATGTTCCTGAGAAATGTTTCCATCATTCAGAATGAGAGTCATATTGAAATGTTCCAATCATTTAAAATTCAGGTGATTTTGAAATGTTCCTCAATCAAGCAATTCAAGTTGTCTTTTAACATTGAAGTAATTCGCAATGGGAGTATATTTGAAATGTTTCAAAATCTCAATAGTTTGAGGTACCTTGAAACGTTTCATACATATTTCGAACGCATTGAAACATTCCTGAATAAGTAGTGGATGATATGTTTCAATTATTCAACATCAAAGTTATTTTGAAATGTTTCATTCAATCACTTCTCAAGTAATTTCGAAATGTTTTGGAATATATCAATTACAGTTGTTTTGAAATATTTCAGGAATATTACAGTGATTTTGCAATATCCCTGGAATGTTCCTGAAAAATGTTTCCATCATTCAGAATGAGAGACATATCGAAATGTTCCAATTGTTTAAAATTCTGGTGATTTTGAAATATTCCTCAATCAAGCCATTCAAGTTGTCGTGAAACATTGAAGTAATTCGCAATGAGAGTATATTTGGAATGTTTCAGAAAATCAATAGTTTGAGGTACCTCGAAACGTTTCAAAGATATTTCGAACGCATTGAAACATTCCTGAATAGGTAGTAAATGATATGTTTCAATTATTCACAATCAAAGTTATCTTGGAATGTTTCATTCATCCACTTCACAAGTAATTTCGAAATGTTTCGGAATATATCAATTATAGTTGTTTTGAAATATTTCAGGAATGTTACAGTGATTTTGCAATATCTCTGGAATGTTCCTGAAAAATGTTTCAATCATTAACATTTTAGGTAATCTTGAAATATTTCATAAATGTCTCATGTTTACTGGGTATAATCTAACCTCTGCAATACAAGAGACTGACACTACCAAATACTTGGGCATCATTGTTGTTGTTCTAAAATTGTTCTATCCGTCATTCGGTTGCCCCCTTACGAGCAACCCTTAGAAGTCTTCGAAAGTCTTGTGCGAGCAAGGAATGACGGGGGCCTTACCTTTTAACGTGTGATCCCAAACACTTTCTCAGGCCATCAGAAAAAGTCTGCGTTCGTGGGACTCGAACCCACGATCGTTACCTCGACGTGAATCGATATTGAAGCATCGAAGCACTGAGGTACGCCGGCCATAATTATTGACCAAAACTTAAAATGGGACTATCATGTAATGTATATATCAAAAAAACTCAGATTGTTGATCTATAAATTCTTCCTCCTCAAGCAGTTTCTCAGTATAAGCCTGCTTATAACATTATATTACAGTTTAGTAAAATCTATTCTATGTTATGGAATCTTAGTATGGAGCGGCATGTATGACACAGCACTAAGGCCCTTAAATGTTATACAAAATAAAATATTGAAGATTATTTATGAAAGAGACAGGTTGTATCCAACTCATTCACTATATAATGAAAAAATTCCTAATATTAGATGTTTATTCATTTATACAGTATGTTGTCACCTGAAAAATCATGAATCCCTAAAAATTCCTATCGATCATAGTCCTGACACTACAGCTGTATCTAATATGCATATTGGAGTTGATAAGACGAACAGTGAGTTTTTCAAAAATTGTGTGAACTATTTATGACCCAAATGTTACAATACTCTACCGTTAGATATAAAATTGTTACAAAAATATAGATTCAAAAAGATCTGCAAAATACACATTTTCCAAAATAATTCGAAATTGTATAATAATATTTTCTTAGGATAATGTATATATTTTTAGTTTCTCTGTATACTCTAAAATATGTCATATAAACATAATATGAACAGTTCACCTCAATCTATTTCACTAAAATATTCATGTACAATTCGAACATTTTCATTCAAGACACATACAGGTGTGTTCTCACCTAGGTGTCATAATTCAAATATATAGCTATAAGAATGCAAAACATATTGTAAAAATATATTATATAGATATTATATCCAGATAAATGAATAAATAAAATAAATAAATAAATAAAAATATTTCGGGAATGATGACTATTGCAATCAAACTATAATGCACTCAAGAACAGTTTCTTTAAAATTCATGGTGGTAGTTCATTGGTGCAGATGCATACAACATTTCATTCATATCCGTTCAAGATATTTATTCACTGAGGATACCAGATGATTTTGAATTTATTCAGGAGAGTCATAGATGCTCTTGACAGAGAGTTCTTGATAATTCCATCAAAACTAATTGGAAAATCAGTAAAATTCTTGCAACATTCAAGACGCCTAGGTCCATAAAAGTGAGTTATAGTTCAGTCATTGAAGATCAAAAATAGGTGTTACCTGGAAATAAGTTCAGGAGTTATATCACTTCGCAGGTTGGTAGGTTTGGATGTCTAGGACTAGAATTCTGAATATGCAGATCTCTAGACATGTCGCCGGCACTACCATCTCGTCAAGATGGCATCCAAAAATATAGTTTTTCGATTTCCAATGCGAACAGTGCATTTTGCGAATAAAATACGTGTTGGGAGAAAGATTGTAGAGCTCTGAATCAGTTACAAAAAATGTTTCCGGCTTATTTCTGCTGAAGTGAGCCTTTTACGCTCAAGAGCTGACAACTCATTATGTTAATTTCTATTAACTGTCCCTATCTCCATATATGCGTATAAACTCATCTCATATAATAAAACAAGCTCAAAAATTGGTTTCTCGTTATATTTATGACTAGAGGAATCTTCCTATGGAATATGTTCCTAGTATATTTTTGCTAAGGTGAACTGTTAAGGCACGAATGCCCTCGTCAAAGTGAAAATTTTTCGTAAGTTTTTTGTAGAGGCGAATTTCGGAAATAATATCAGTATTATCGGTCCCAAAATCTCAAATTCTGGGAATTTATGAATATTCATCACGAAACAGTGGCATGTCTCCAATTCAATGGATCTATTGATTCATGAATCAATTCATGTTAGTAATTTATGATCAATCGATTTCGATCACAAATGTTGTACTTGTTGCCAAACCTCCCAAGGGGTAGAGTACACGAAGTTTGTTTCAACGTAGTTTCTCCATCAGGCCTAATCTACTTAGGTACTGAAATTAATTTTGGCAAAAGCCAGATAGACCTGGCGCTTTGATTTTCATATCTTCAACAGGGACAATGATTACTTGAGCTTCTGATTCGATGTCAATTTTCTTCAAGTCATCGGATTTTTGTTCTGCAGTCAATGAAAAATCATCAAGCAGCGAATGAAGGTTTCCTTCATGGCACTCGTTCAGTGTCACTTGGCTGATATTTTCCCAAGTTTTCCCATTGCAGACACCGCAAATCATTGGACATCTCAATAAGGCTTTACCTCAAGCCGCCTTACACTCACGAGATGAGAAGCAAGTAGTGCTTTGGAAGCAGAATCTATTGAAGAAGTTACTGGGCTCTGGCCACTTGTGTTTTCTTTTAACTCCATTCTCCAACTACTTTCGGACAGCCACGCGATAGTTGAACCTCATAGTATGTTCTTAATGAATGCTGTCGAGCAGCTGCGCTTGTCGGTGGCGAGGATGCCAAATTGAATCCACTTTTTGATAGCTACTTCACGAACCACTGGTATCGATATTTATCAAGATTGATATGATTTGTGTTTTTGGATCCATACAGTGTAAATTGGCCTCATTGCAATAACTATTTAAGAAGTTCCTCTATCCAAAGAACTATTTGCTTCCTCATCTTGTGAGTGCAAGGCGGCTTGTGGTGGAGAATGTAGATGCAGGAGAGCAAGATTTGAATTCGATGATTTGCGGTGTCTGCAATAGGAAAATGAAAATATCAGCAAAGAGACACTAGACGAATTCGATGGAGTATACCTTCATTCGCTGCTTGATGAATTTTCATGAACTACAGAAGAAGAATCCGCCGAGTTGAAGGAAATTTACATGGATTCTGAACCGTTTTCTCCGTTGAGGATATGAGAATCAACGAGCCATATCCGTCTCGCCTTTGCCAAAAATAATTCAAGCACCTGAGTGGATTAGTATTCTCAAGAACTTATATCCTGTGAAAGATTAACAAAAACTTCAACACCTCATTTCTCTGCCTATCCTCCCTAGGCACGCACGATGTTTCACAAACATTATATGAATTCCCTTTCGAGCGCTTCAAGAGATGGTGTGAAAACAAGTACAGCTCTTTCAAATTGAAATCAATAGATTATAATTCGTTCACATGAATCAATTAATCAATCGATTGATTGAATAGAGGATATGCCACTGTTTCTTAATAACTATTTATGAAGTCTTGGAATATTACATTCGAGAACTACTAATACATATATTGTTTACGAAAATCGCCTCCACAGAAATCTTTTGCAAAAATTTTCATCTTGCGAGTGCAGTTTTGTCTTAACGGTTCCTTTTAGCAAGAATATACTAGGAACATATTTTACAGAAAATTTTCTCTAGTTAGCAATCTCTGAATATAACAAGAAACAAATTGAGTAGTCTGGTTTATCATAAAAAATTAATACATACGCATATATGGAGATAGCTAGGTGCAGTTTATAGAAATTTACAGAATATGTTGTCATTCAATCAGCTCTTCAGCCTCAACAGCTCACTCCAGCAAAAGTATACTAGGGACATTTCGTGTAGAAAATTACATCTCCTTCAATTCTTGTGTCAAACTTTTTTTTGGAGAAATTTGCAAAAAAACATTTTCGAACGCCCTCTTGGTAAAATGGCGGCGCCGGGGCGGGTCTTGGAATGTGTATTTTGTGAATTTCAGTTCAAGACTCCCAAACCCATAAACCGACAATGAATCAAAACTTCCGGACTCATTTCCAGGTGATAATCCCCAATGACGCCCAAAATACTCACATGCTCTCGACTGCTACTATCTTGTGATATATAGCTGGTATTTTTATTATGCTGATATGCTTGCTGTACCACATCATTCCCTATAGGGTGCCACGCCCGGTCATTCATAGGCTCGTTTGTGTTTCTCATAGTCAGATTATACAAAACAAGAAACCCGAATTTTTCCTGTTGAAACTGGCAATTCCTTGAGCAATATTTGTCCCTCTCTCTGTCTCTGATAAACTCATAGATATTTTATGAAGGTTCACAATTCTTGTCAAGTTCTCATCATCATTTTTTTTCTGGTCATCTAACTACAAGAATAGCTGCTGTTCCGTAAACTTCTGCCTAATATTTTCAGATTCATATGATGTATATCAAGCTAGAATGACATGGTATTGGCGAGATAATAATTGGGTTTTCACTGGCGTTTTTTCAATAACCAGGAATCATATTGAACTATTGAAGGCTTGGTTCAAGGACAACGCTAGTTCAGTCAGAATAGTTTTTTTTTCCGCAGAGACATATTTCAGGTCTGACATATTATTTGTTTATAGTTTTTCGCTCAAAGACAACCATAATAGTCTGGCAAGAATAATGAATTCTCGAATGGAACTAGTTGGTTTCGAAACATATTTTGAATGTTTTTGATGGTTAGTTGAGGCTAGATGAGAATTTTCAAACATGTAGAGACCACCCTGAAGATTGAATGATAGCACATGTTTGGTCAGAAATAATTTGACACTTGCTGCCGCTTCATTCATGTCACGTGGTATACCCAGCATAAAAAGGATTATTTTAGACAATTTTGTGAAAGTTTGTTTCAGAGTCAGCTGACCGAAATCATAAATGTGCGGCTGGCTTCTGTTGTTTGACTCCGTTTATTTGTTGTTTCGTTTTCTACCAAGTGCTGCCTATTCTCTGCACTTCCTCTCACCATCCTGATGAGGGCCGAAGCACGAAACTCGTGTATACGGTTATTGGTTTGTGAGGGATATGTCCAATTATTTCTTCCTAGTCACTTCAGCTCACACGTCACAGTTTCCTCGATAATATTTGCATAATTACATATATATACAAAATAACGAAGTTGACAGTTGTTTCTGATAGAAGTGGCAACACTGTATCGATAAAAACATATCGGACGAATAGAGAATGTTCAATTATCAGAGCATCTCAATTCTCAATATGTTGTTCTTTCGTTCTCCAGATACTTCTAATAGGCCATTCACCGTGACCCACCCTGTATATATGTCTGTTGTGGAAGGCTAATAAACAGACCACATCAACTCTAGGCACCAGTGTTTCAGTAGCTAGTTGATGATTCCGGCCAACCCAACCCAATCCTCTTTCCCATTCCGATCGTGCCAATCTCCCTCGTCAATAAGAAAAGCGATGATGAATTCTCCTCAAACAATATCATCCAGGAGACAATCACCTTCAGAGGCTAGAGGAGGTTCACCGTCGATAGCCAGAAAGAGACCAAATTCCTCAGTTGCCTCTACTTCACCAAAGATCTATGCTGAGGAGAGCTCTTCGAATTCTCGTCTCTGAAGCTTGATCTCCACTTGGAAATTCTGACCTCACACTCATCTCTACAACTTGCCCATTTTTCATTCCATCAATTGCAACTGCTCTGGCACTCCCACACTCAAATGGCATTACAATTCAGGAGACTGGGAGAGTCTCCGCGTGTTCTTTCCAAGTTTCCTTGGCACACAATATGTTTCGACCCTGAAAATTCTTCACAGTGTGCTGAGGAAATAACACGCATGGAATGGACACATTTTTACTACATTTTTCGAAACTATCATCACAGCCCAAACCTTGTTTCAACAAAAACCATTTTAGAGCTGTTGCCATAGATCAAACAGCCTACAATCGCTGTCGCAAAAACCCCAACCTCGCGACTAGAGCAGGATACGTTGAAACCAGGAATAACTACAGCCAAATAATAAATGCATCGAAAGGAACATACAATGCCAAAATGAGATCGAAACTCAAAGATTGTCCCAATGGATCCCGTTCGTTTCGATTCCTTGCTGAAGCAGTTGGAAGGAATTTTGCCAATAGTATATTTCCACCACTCTCCAAAGCTGACGGAACTCAAGCAACAACATCGCAGGAGGAAGCCCGAAGCAGATATTTCTGCGGGATGTTTGCAGCAAACTCTGCTCAATATTCCACCCGTTGAAAGTCGAATGCTCGGAATCGTCTTCTGTCAATGCACTAACAGACGCATTTTGCTTGGTCCCAAAACGAATAATGGCAACGGTCCTGATAGAATTCCACTTATTATTCTCGAAAAATGTGCACCACAATTGACACCTATTCTCTGCAAGTTAGTCACCATCTAGTACAAAGCCGGTATTTTTCCATCATTCTGGCCAACCGCCCTGTTATCAGTTTCCTCCAAATTGATGGAGGAAGCCATCAACATTGAGCAAATAAGATATCTGGAAAGCTCAGGAACCATCATGATAGACGATATGGCCAAAGATCAACTACAGATTTACTTGCCTTCGTCATCCATGTATAGCAATCTACATCAGAAAAATATGGGGAATCACTAGCTATGTCGTGAGACATATTTTGAGCATTAGACCGTGTTTGACACCAAGGACTCCTTGACAAACTACGAACATACGGCTGACCACCTCAGCTATGCCATCTACCATCGAGTTTTATCTCACGCAGATCACTCCACGTGATGGTGGTGTGTGTATCGTCTGAGACCTTTACCATCAAGTCCGGCGTTTCACAAAATTCCATTTTGGCACCAACATTGTTCCTACTTCATATCAATGACCTGTTGGGAGCAACCACAGTTCAGCAGATGATAGTACCCTTCATTTCGCGTTCTTTTCCAGAATTCTCATTTCTTTCAAGGAAACTATTAACTAGGGAAAGCATGTTATTGCAGTCATTGATGATCTTACTAAAATCATTGCCTGGGGCATTCTCGATCTTAATGAAAACCTAGTAGGCGACCTAGTGCGAGGAGGTATAATATTGTCTGTTCATTCAATCAAAATATGTATGCCTGTCAAGTGGCGAAGAGGACGAGAAATTGGAAAGATCTCATTTGTTTATGTCGAAATAGACCATATTAGGTTGATATTCTCTTCTTCTGTTTTTCTCCAATATGTACTGAACCACAGACGTGCTTTCCATCATTGACGTGATATTTGATACGAAGGCTATGAAGAATATTTTTTCATGAAATTGAGATATCGTTATCATGAAATTATTTTCTGACAGTTGTCATCAACTTATAACTTCGTCTTTGTGGATATGTTGAACTTTGAATTCGTATCCTCGAAAATTACGATTATACCTAATTATTTCTTCTTGTATTGGTTTTGTATTGAAGTTTGTTGATTGGTTTGTGAGTGCAATTGTGTTATTTTGCAATGTCATCTGAAAACTTCGCACTCCAGGAGGTGCAGGTGTAAAATGGTCAAGACATGGTTTCCCAAATCCTTACTGTTGTGAATTTGAGCCTCAAATCCTGAGGCATCAATGTGTTTATGACATATTCATTGGATTCCAAGGTGAAATTTGTTTCTTGAATCGCATAATATTTGTAACTTAATGCATTGATATTTCAGGAATGGGAGTTGTTGGAGTAAGCGAACATGATACTGTATGTTTCTAACATTTTAAGGGAACTGTTTCTTGCCAATGGAATAGGAATTGGTTTTGGAAGGAGGGTTCCGTTCCAAGTTTGTTTGAGGTAGGTATATATGAATAAAATGATATTTAACAAGTTTGTACCTATACAAACATTCGGAATTCGGAATATGATGCTGAAGAAGAATTCATTCCTCAAGGAACACGACCTGAAGATGAAGAAGCATCTGAGGAGGAAACTGGCATTTGAACAGATATTATAGAATGATAATGAATAATAATGAATACTGTCTGTAGGTTAATCGAGGAGGTGGTATATTCATTATTCCAAATTTTTTGGGATTTTCTCTCCTCGTTTCTATAAAATAAAAATATGAATATTATTTCAATATACGTGTAGTAAGGACAAATCAGATGATTTGCCCCAAAATGTCACTGCGTTTAAAGAATTTTCCTATCAGAGAGCCTAAAAGAAAAATTCACTAGCTTGTCAGTGACAATTTGTATTGAAAAAATTTTTGGAGAAGGGAAATAAAGGTATATAGAAAAAATATCAAATTTTCACTTATCTTTGGACGTTTCGGGACCGGTTCTGCTCCCGTTTTCAACATAAGAAGAGATTATTCCGATAGCGAAGTCGTATAATGTCTTGAAGCTTTTCAGTTTTCAATGACAATTGGTGACGTTGGCAATCAAATGAGTTACAGGATGTTTTCATTAATTGATCTTGAATTTACCATTTTCATGTTCAGATTTTAGTAGTGAATACCATGTTCTGTCTATATCAACTGAACAAGAAGCAATGTTATTGTCTCCGTTCAGAAGAATGCAAGCAGATTCCTTGATTTTGCTCTTCTGGTTGTTATCTTCTTTTCCAATAATTTTAATATTATTCCAATCTGCCATATGTTGTCCGTTTTCAGTAAGGATATGTTCAGCTAGTTTCGATTTATCGATGTTTCTTTTCTTTATATTGTACTTATGTTCCTTCGTCCTTACTGAAAGAGGTCTCTTGGTTTCACCTGTATAAAACTTTCCACAAACACAAGGTATACTGTAAATACAATTTTTTGATGATTGTTCTTCATTTTTCGGCTTTGTTTGAGTTAGAATTGATCTCATTGTATTTTCAGTTTTGAACACAGTTTTCACTTGAAATTTATCACCAACACGTTTTATTTTTTCAGATATGCCGGGAATGTATGGTATTATATTTGTCGTTATTGATGGTTGATTTTGTTGTGGTTGACCCTGTTTGTTTTCAATTCGAATTGAAAACAAACAGGGTCAGGTTAGGTTAGGTTAGGTTAGGTTAGGTTAGGGGAGAAAAATCAAGGAATCTGCTTGCATTCTTCTGAACGGAGACAATAACATTGCTTCTTGTTCAGTTGATATAGACAGAACATGGTATTCACTACTAAAATCTGAACATGAAAATGGTAAATTCAAGATCAATTAATGA